TCCAACTCCCATTCTACAGGAGAAGAAATCATATTACTTCTAGGAATTTAAAACATTTTGGAAGGAGGCAATGCTGACCTCTCCACGTAAGAGTGACCATACATTTCTGTATGCACTTGATAGAAAGCTTTCTTATCAGAAGCCTCTCCCCAGAATTGTGAAGCAGTAGAATAGGTGGCATCAGGGTGTCTGTGGTTTGTGCCCTGAGATGACCCTACAACCAGCATATCACAACCACCTATCAGAGACTTATAAGGTCCCCTCTCATTGGTCTGTTCTGCCAATCATGTGTTTAATTCAAAACAGATGTTGTTGTTTAGGAAAACGTTTATAACATTTAATGAAGCAAATTTCCTTTTCTAGTCAATATTTCAGCTGTAAATGGTTGGGAGAGTTGGTATTGGTGTTAGGTACCACTGAATTAATTTGGATTCATAGGGATCCCATATGACAAAGTAGAATCCCTCACAGAATTTTCTAGGCTTATTAGTATTTAACCAAAGAGTTGGCAGTTCAGCTTAACTAGCCTTCCTCAGGAAAGATGACGCTGCCTGTTCTTGTTAAGATTTAGAGCCTCAGAAACCGAAGGAGGCTTTTCATGAGTTGGAACCAACTAAAAGCCAGTGGATCGGCTTGGTTGTTTCTAATTTTCTAGGAGTAGATCACCAGGTTTTCCCTTATGGAGCTACTTAGGTGGGTTTAAACTGCCAAGATTTATTTTTTGTTTTAAATGTTAATGAACATTTACAGAGATTTTGGATTTCCATTCATTCATTGTTGCACTTTTCTCCCTGCCCACCCCTCCCCCTCAGTTCACTCTTCTCTTTGAAAAGTAAAAGAAAAATCCCTTCATTGGTAGACAATCCCCCCGCCCCAAGTACACTTGACTATGCAACCTTCACTCTGGACTCTTGTGATAACCATAATACACTATCATGTATCGTCTTTAAACTGTTCTCTCCCTCATCTGTTTCAATGCAGTACACATGATTCATCCAGTTTTTCTCAGTCTTACCCCAACCCTGATATCAGTCCCATTCTACAACAGTGACACTATGCAGTATTTGTCCCTTTGTGACTGAGATATTCACTTAGCATAATGTCCTCGGGAGTCACCCATTTTGAATAATATTGCATAAGTTCCTTGTTTTTCAATGCAGAGTAGTAGTCCATTGTGTGAATATACTACAACAATCTTTTTTTTTATTAGCAGTTGAGCACTTAACATGGGACCATCAGAGTGCCTATACATATTCACATACACTTTATAAAGTACAATCATAATTCTATTATACCACATAAAATTTATCAGTTCTTAGAAAGATTCTTAGCATATGCTTAAATCTCTCTGATGCATAAACATATCTCTTTTGTATACATGCATTTTTATTTAGACAGATGCTAATATTCATCTAGGCAGCTGTGGTGACATAGTCTACATAGATTTCCTCTGCTAACTCAAAGATGGTGCCTCTCTCTGAGGGTTCAAATCCACCAGCTGCTCCAAGGAAGAAAGGCAATCTACTTCTTTGATATTTATAACTGTAGAACCTGTTGGAGGATCAGCTATGAGTGGTTCTGACTCTGGGTGGTCCCCCCACATTGTTGTACAGCCCCCCGATGCACCCCTTGTTCCACGTTACTGTCATACACATAATACCTAATCATATATAAAGCAGTAAGTTTTGTGCGTAATAATTCACACAGCTTGGGCATACGTTGACTAAATCAAGGTCAATGGGGTTAGTTTCTGTGAGCCTCTGGAGCATCATGGACTAGGTGACAAGTGCATGGAAGATCTTATTTTGTATGGCCATCTCCTGTACTATTAAAACAAAATTACCCCCTGCAGGGGGAAGGGGGCATTAATCATTGGGCTGTACAATTTGATGGGTGGGTAGGTGAGGGGAATTGAAAGAATTTATTCAAATTTGTATTTTAATTTTGTAAATAAACTTATGTTAAAGTTTATTTTATAAATAAACTTCCAGTCAACTGACTGGAAGAGATCTATATTTGTCCCATTCCAAAGAAAGGTGATCCCACAGAGTGTGAAAATTGTCGAACAATATCATTAATATCACATGAGAGCAAGATTCTGCTGAAGATTATCCAAAAATAACCGGAACAGTACATCAACAGAGAACTACAAGAAGTGCAGGCTGGATTTAGAAGGGGTTGTGCTAATGTTAGATGGATCTTAGCTGAAAGCAGGAAGTACCAGAGGAATGTCTATCTGTGTTTCATTGATTATGCAAAGGCATTTGACTGTGTGGATCATAACAACCTGTGGCTGACTCTGAGAAGAATGGGAATCCCAGAACACTTGATCGTGCTAATGCAAAACCTGTACTTGGACCAGGAGGTCATAACAGAAAAAGGAAACACTGCATGGTTCAAAATTGGGAAGGGTATATGCCAGGTTTGTATCCTGTCTCCATACCTTTTCAATCTTTATGCAGAACAGATTATCCAGGAGCCTGGGCTCTATGAGGAGAAATATGGCAACAGGATTGGAGGAAGAATCATCAACAATCTGTGTTATGCAGATGATACAACCCTGCTTGCTGAAACTGAGGAGCATCTGAAGCACTTGCTGCAGTTCAGAGACTGCAGCCTTCAATATGGATTAAAGCGCAACATAAAAACAATAACAACAACAACAAAAAGCCAAAGATTCTCACCACTGGGCCAATTGGCAGCATCATAATGGATGGTGAAGGGATTGAGATTGTTCACAGTTTTGATTTGTTTGGATCCACAGTCAACACTCTTGGCACCAGCAGCCAGTAAAGACATATTGTGATGGGAAAGTCTGTGGTTAGAGACTTCTCTAAAGTACTGAAGTGCAACGATGTCAGTCTGGAGACTAAGGTGTGCCTGATACATGCTATGGTCTTTGCAATCACTTGTTACTCATCAGAGATCTGGACAATGACTAGGGATGATAGAAGGAGAATTGATGCCTTTGAGCTGTGGTGCTGGAGAAGAGTATTGAATATACCATGGACTGCTAAGAGAACAAACAGGTTTGTCCTGGAGAGTGTGAAGCCAGGCTGCTCCTTAGAGGCAAGGATTCTGAAGCTTCTACTTTGGTCATGTTGCAAGGAGGTACCAGTCCTTGGAGAGGAATGTCATGTTTGGGAGGGTGGAGGGACTGTGCAGGAGAGGAAGACCCTCAATGCGATGGATTGATTCAGTGACTGGGATAATAATGGTGTCAGGTGTATCAGAGATGGTGAGATTGGTACAGGATAAGGCAGAGTATAGGGCTGTTGTACATAGGGTCTCTATGAGTCATAGGTGACTCGATGGCACATAACAACAACGCAACAAATAAACTAGTAGAAAATTTAAAAAAAAGGGCAATGAAGAAAAAGAAATGTAGACTTATTTCTATAAAAAGCAACCTACCAAACAGCTACCCAGCAGTCAGATCACTCCATTACATATGTTTATATACTTGTGTTCATTTATGTAAGTAGGAGGAAATGTAAGAGGACATAGTACTCCCATCTGTCAATGCTGGTTTTAGTAGGATGGGGCACTAGTTATGTATAGTTTCTTTAAAAAAATAATAAAAAGATACATCTTTGTTTCGCTTCACTTATGTAACAAGTATATTTTTTATTATTTAAAAATCATGTAATAAAGAAAAAAATTGAAGTTAAAAAAAAAAAACTACATCTAAGAATGCATTTCTGCCTATTCAACAGTCACCTACCAGGACCTGGCAGTTTTTAATATTGCATGTTACAAGGTAAATTTGTGCCAATTTCTCCCTGGAGAAAGCACTGTCTATACTTTATTAACCAAGGCTCCATGCTTAAGAATTCTCATGTTTAATTTCAAGTCCTATAACCATCTTGGACATGAAAAACAGAATGTGGTATTTTTTGGCAAATGCTTGTAATTTCTCAGGAAAGAAAGGAACTGGTCAAGATTGAGGAGTGGGTAAAATATGAGCCAGCTTGAGCTGGCTCCAGGGTGAGGTTGTGTAACAGCAAAAGCTGCTTTTCAACCAGAACTAAGCAAAAATTGTGTCTGCAGAGGAAGGATATTAAGGGAAGTTTGAGGACATCAGGATGTGCCCAGACAAATACTGTACTGTACAAATAATGCCTGCTGAATAAATCAGAGTAGAAGCAAAATAAGTACACAAAGATAGCCGTGTGTAATGTGGGCACATAAACATACAACATATATGTATGTAGCCACTTACTACATGGATGCCTATATATTTATCATATTTATGCATTAACACTTAATATATAATACGTCTATATATGCATCTCCTGGAACAATGCATCTGTATACATCTAGGAGAAGTCCAGGCAGGTTAACATAAAACAAAACAAAACAAAACAACAAATACTATGTATGGCTCATGGCACTCTGCATGCTAAACAGAAATGCTTCCCCCGCCCTTTTTCCTTTTAACCATGTTAGAAGTGTGAAAGCTATATTTAGGTTTTTGAAGTTTAATACATAGAAATATATTATTGAAGACTGAGAAGAATCTTGTCACAAATGCACTCAAGTTCAAGATGGTACACAAAATAAATCTGGATTTGCAAACACCTCTAATTTTACAAAATAATTAGAGTGGCGCCCGCCTATAGAAGCAGAGGTCCCAGGGAGATGCAGGCGAGGATAGCGGCTCCAGCGTCACCTAGCAGGCGGACACGTTGACAGTGGGGGCTGGACCAGGCGCTGGCTAGGGATGCTCCGCTCGCCTGCCAACATTTTCCCCGAGGGCTGCAACAGTACTGGCGTGGATCTTAAGAATCGAGGGCCCACTGGTAGTTCCCACCTTCTTCCAAATTTCCCAAAGAGGTGGGTAGAGGAGACCCCATTAAGAGGGGACAGGTGCAAGGGAAAGGAGTGGCACCAGGGCTGAGCCTTGGACGGTCCGCGGGAAGAGGACTATTCAGAGACCAGGGGCCACGGGGCAGAAGTGAGGGCATTAGCCGGGGAGCTCCCTGCCCAGAGTGACTCACCATTCTCCAGTGCTTCGGGCACCAGCAGAAGACCAAGTAGCAGCCAAACCTTCATCTTGAGGGGAAGGGGCAGCGGCTGTGCAGGAAAAGCAGAGCGCGGTGGAGGCGCAGACGAGGGCGCCGCCTCCGGACGGAGTCAAGGCCTGGGGCGGGCGCCTGGGACGCCACCGCTGGAGGATTCGGTTTCATAAGGAGGAACTCACTTTAGGGGAAAAGTTTGGTGGTGTTTTTTGGTTTTTTCAAAATTCCCTGTCTCTGTAAAGTGACCTCTCCTGCCCCCTGGCGGAGTCATGGAACACAGCGTGCTCATACCGGCGAGCTGGGAAGCAGCCTATGCACAAAATGTCAGTTAAAATCATGTGAAAATATGCACCAACATTTATAATACAGAGAAGAAAGCTGTATGTGCTACAAAAGATACCAATAAAGTGCTCTGTTGTTGAGATGTGCCATCGAGTCGACTAGGACCCAGATAGCAACCCTATGAAAATGGCTCTGAACCCTGCCCTATCCTGAGCCATACTCACCATCTATGACACACCTAACTCCGTTGCCACAGCCACAGTGTTAAACCGTCTTGTCCAGGGTCTTCCTTTTCTGCGCTTGCGCTGACCCTCTTCCAAACATCATCACCTTCTCCAAGGTGTGGTCCCTCCTGGCAACATGCCCAAATTATGTGAAACAGAGCTTCAAAATCCTTGCCTCCAAGGAACAATCTGGTTTCACCCTTTCCAGGACATACCTCATGTGTTCTCCTGGCAGTCCATGGTATATTCAATACTCACCTCCAGCACCACTATGCAAAAGCATCATCTATTCTTCTGTCATCCTTAGTCATTGTTCAGCCCTCAGATGCATTGTAAGCAGTTGAGAAAACCGTGGCCTGGATCAACCACGTATTGATCTCCAGACTGGCATTGTTGCTCTCTATCACTCTGCAGAGATTCTTTTTTTAATAAATATATATTATTTACAAAATTCGAATACATTGTTTTCGAGATCAGATTCTTTCCATTTTCCTCACCTCTCACCCATAAAATTGTACAATGCCATGATTAATCCCTTCCTCCCCCTGCATATCCTCATCCCTCTGCTTCCACCCTCTCCCACCCCTCTTGGATCCTTATACTCATTCTACAATAATGGTTTTATACAATATTTATTCTTGTGGGACTGAGTTCACTCAGCATAATGCTCTCCATTCCCTCCCAAGTTAGGTAATAAATTATAAAATAATTGCTCCTGCACACTGCATAATATTCCATTGTGTGAACATACCATAGTTTGGAGAGATTCTTGACAGCAGATTTTCCCTATGAACTTCATCTTTTGATTTTCTCTTGATGCTAAGAGTGTTGATGGTGGATTCAGACAATATTAATTTAACAACATCAATCCTTTTCGCCATCTATCTTGATACTATCTATTGGCCCAGAGGTGAGGATCTTTGTTTTCTTGATCTTGAGATGGAATTCATAATGAAGGCTACGGTCTTCAACCTTCTGCAGCAAACATTTTGAGCGCTCTTCAGTTTTAGGTAGCAAAGTTGTGTCTCTTGCATAATGTAGGTTCTTGATGAATCTTCCTCCAATCCTGATGCCACATTCTTCTTCATAAAGTCTGGTCTCCCAAATGATCTCTTTTGCATATAGATTGTGAAGTGTTAGCCTAAAATTAGCCTTTTGTTAGCCATTATGGTTAGGCCCCTCTGATCTGTAGCTTACTGCTGATACATGGTCTTGCCGGTCAGCCTGGTCTTGCAAATCTTCAACAGCTGTGAGACTAGGATAGGAGAAAGAGTGCTTCCCATAATGTGCAGCAAGACTTGAGGGAGACTGGAGAAAGATCCTGGTTGGGAGCGAGACCCTACTGGTGAGACCCTGGTGGTGAGAATCTAGTGGTAAAACCCTGTTAGTGGAGAAACTGTGGTATTGCTGTAGAGATGGTGTGACCTGTGGCTTCCTACATTTATGCTGTCCATAGCTAAAGGTTTTGCTGTCCTTGCTGGATATATGAAGGAGAGGCTGACTTATAACTGCTCTGAGGCAAACTTAGCTAGATAATTGAGGAAACCAGAGGCTACTTCAATTTGTGTTGCTGAACTGAAACTGAAGCTTGGCCTAATTGAGGAATTGTGCCTTGGAACTGTTGGACTAAACCTGAAGCTGTATTGTGAGATATTCTTTGCTTCCCCCACTTCCACCTTACTCCCCTAATAGATCTCATTCTTGGTGCCACAAGTGTGAATCTGTGAGTCAAAAATGAATAAACAAATCTCTTGCTGCTGGCGTAGTTCTATGGTTCTGGGCTATGGGCCTTTTATCTGCTGTTTGCTCTGGAGTGATGAGGGGCTGTGCTATTCTCATTCCTTCTCGTTCTTTCAGAAAGACACTTATGGTCCTGTGTCCCTATGTCCCATTTGTTTTCTTCTCTTTAGGGAGATTTAAAAGACAGGGATGCTTTAGATGAGGGGGACGGGGGAGGACAGGGAAAATCACAAAATAAAACATGTTGTGTGCCTGCCTATTTACAGCCTCAGAAGCAAGCTAGAGGGTCAGCTATGAGTTGGTTTTGACCTGATGGCAGTGAGCGAAGCATAGCGTGTGTGTTTTCCAGTAGATTCCAATTTAAAACTACTTTGACAGTGTAGTCCATAAGGGGGATTGATTGTGCTTAGTAACCCAGATGCTGAACTGTTCTGATGGTTCTGTCTCCTCCTGCTCTGATTTACAGCCTGGGAAAGTTGGTGGCAGTAAGTCTGGAAGACAGAGTAGACTCCTCTTTAGAGTTTACCTAGGGAGAAATAGCTACTGGTCAGTGCTTTTTATCCCAGACCTACTGGTGGGTTTAAACCACAGACCTTTTGATTAGCAGCATAGCAATCACTGTGCTCTTGACCACTGTGCCACAGGGCTCTATAATTCCTACATTGATGCCTTGGGTTTCTCTAATATCCTGTATGTTAGTACTAACTCCAAGAAGGTCTAGTGCAATTGTGCAGGTATAGTGATGATGGGATCACATTTGACCATAATTGCCTAAGTAAATGTCATCAAGCACTAGACCCCATCTGTTTAGAGGCTTCATATTCTGTTTTTTAAAAAAATAAAAATCAAAACACAAAGTGGAGGGAAGGAAACTCCAGTTGTCACAGAATAGGTTCTGACTCACTGCAACCATGTATAATAGAGTTAAACAGCAGATAGAAATGGCCTTAATTTTTCAGAGTTAGTTCTCCAAGTCTTTCTCTGGAGGAACCTCTGGATGATTTGAAGTACCAAGTTTTCACTTAAGTCCTAGGTATCTATGTCCCCTAGAGATTCCTATTCTGTAACATCTCACTGCTGTTAAGTCAATTTGGACCCATGGCAACCCCAAGTGTTATAAAGGTCTTACATTGTTAGATGGCATTGAGTACAACACATAGTGATCCTATGAATAACATATCTGACCCCTGTTCTCACCATCTCTAACATACTCAAACTTACTGCTGTAGTTACCATGCCAATCCATCTGGTTAAGGATCTTCCTCTCTTTCGTCTGTCCTCTATTAAACATGATATTCCCTTCCAAGGAATAGCCCCTTATTCACTGTTGGTGGGAATGTAAAATGGTGCAACCCCTGTGGAAAGCGGTA